ACTGGTATCTGTATTCTGTGTGATATCAATGTTCTGTGAAATGTCTATGGTAAGCACTTTGGACTGCACTTGTTGTATGAAAGGTGCTATACAAACAAAGATTATTATTATGTGTCATAGCAGGTACAGCTATAGTGTAGATGGAAATCTGAAGTCCCAGGCTCCTCGAACCGAGCAGAAATAATATACATAAGACTTAAAACCATCTGTCATAAATCCGTCTGCTACTGGACCCCTGACTTTGTATCAACACCATAAAAACATTATGAATCACATTAATGCAAATCATGTGAACAGACAGTATCTTGTTATTTTTTTAAACTGTAAATTCTGCATGTTGCAAATTTCTGCTCCACACTACCTCTTTAAAATCTGCACAGCTCTCCAGTTTGAATATAGTATTTGTCATACTTTATTAGATTTGACTGTACTCAGATCCTCACATAATTATATTTTGTGTAATTATTGTCTTTATTTTGGATTTAGCCTTAAAACTAAAAGTGTAATATATTACAGTGTGTCTTTGTATGCACCACATGTACCACTCGTAAGCATAAACCTACTTGGTAATGACACCGATTCTGATTCTCAAAACAATCAAACAAATAAAAAACAATTAAAATAGTATAAGAGGAAACGGAGTAGACATAAATGAGAATGAGGCAAGATTAATGTGCAGGAAAAGGGAAACATATACAGAATAATACGAGCTAAAAATAGATATGGAAACAAATATGGAGCCCCAACAGGATATTAGATTTGTCCGAATGCTGATTTTAATATAAACACACATGAGCATCTTGAAGAATAGACGCTATGGATGGGACTAAAATAGAGTTTTTTTACTACATTTATGCTTAACCTTGTCTGAAAATTACAATTAAAAATGTTAATGCAAGATTTGATATGTTTTACAAGACATAAGGGCAGGAATTCAGAGGAAAAGGAGCCGTTTTGCGCTCTGCTACTAAAAACAGTTTTTTTTTAACGTCATACGTCAAACGCGTCATATTACGTCAAATGGGGGAGTTAACTTTCTCGGACTCGTTCTCTGCCCAATCCGCGGTAGTAGTTTGTAGTTGGTTTGAGCGGTTGTGTTTTAGTGAGCTGGTATTTTTTCGGTAATTTTACATTGTATTTCACCATTTGTAATCATGGTGCAGTATTGTGTTTGTGCAGGTTGCACAAATACCAACCTGTCAGGACATCGAGTCCACAAGGACCGGAGCTAGCGTTCGTTCCTGGGTGCGTTGTGCATCCACCTCCCTGCAGCACATACTCCGTCTCCACAGCTTTATCAGGAAACCGTATTACTTCTCTCTCCCCCCCCTTCGCTGCTCTCTCTCCCCTCCGGTACACGGCACCGTAAGACGTAGTGTGGAGTTGCATTAGGTAACGCTGTGGTGGCTGTACTGCTCCTGCCGTCTCCTTTGTGTTTGTTTGTTTCCCCCTGTCTGTGTTGTTTGTGTGTGCGTGGTGGCTGTCACTCCTATTTTTTCTAATCCTTGGCTGCTCCTGGTCTCTTGGACGCTTAGCAGGCTCATAATTATAATCATATGCATTCGAATATATATTTTCAACCTCTTCTGTGTCAAAACTAGCATTGTGATCCATTTGTATTCATACGTTAGACCGGCCGCTCTCCCCCTTGTTTCCCCCATGTTACGTCACACGCGGGAGGTCACGTGCGTGGCTTTTTTATGCGGAAGTGAAAATGTCTTACTAAAACGACGCCAGATGTCACTGTAGTGTATATTTCTGTATATTTTTTGGAAAATCTAGTGTATTCATCATTTTCCTACACATTTATTCACTGGTGTCTCTAACCTGCAAGTTGCTCTTTAACAATTCAAACATGTCAGCACTATTTGGTAAAGACTGAGGGTGGGACAGAAAGGAGAGGAACCCGATTCTCATCTGAACACCTATATGGAGCCCCAACTGGATGTTAAATTGTTTTAACACCAATTAAAGTAATATATACACATATTAGGATCTTGATGAATTGACACTGAGATACCTAACAAATATTGTTACTGGTACTTTTGGTTGTCCACCTTTTTGTTAATTGTAGTTTGTTTAATTTCAGTTGTTATGTTTAATATTTTAAGCTAGCCTCTTAATTAATATTTTTGCCTCTTAATTTGTGCCCTTTGTGGCAGTAATACAGGTACTCTGATATCTGTACTAATACTAATACCACCACCACTAATTCTAGCACTACTACTAATAGTGCAGTACATTTCTATATATGTATGTATATCAGTGAGACTGTATATCGTAGAGTATTCAATGTATTCAATAATTTCTTTATATTGTGTATTATTTAGATACTATAGTGATATATATCCTTTCTATTGAGAATGTGTATACTTGCTTGCTTTGTTGTATTTGTACCTTTTAAACATTGTTAACTAGTGTAATGATGATTGACAACACTGCTGCTGTTACAAAATAATTCCCCATTTGACATAATAAAGTATCCATTATAGTATTTAGTACAGTCATCCTGGAGCTAATTCATTACTTTCTACATTTTGTACATGTGTCTACATGGCAGTTTACTAAATACAGTTTATTATTCTGTCTCTATCATTATTGTCTCTTTGATTTAACAGTGTTAATGTCCACTCTTTGGGACTAATAAAGGTATTCTGATTTGTATCTATGTTTAGCTGCGTGTTAGAGCCTCCATGCCCGGCATTGTAGCTTCTTTAGCCGGCTAACGTTCACCCCCTCCGGCCTCCGGGTACTCACCGACAGCGGCTTTAAAAACAGCCGTCTCATCTCCGTCCAGCGCTGTTAACAACATCTTAGAGAGTATGAACTACAAGAGCATTCAGGGGCAAAAATAATCAGGTGAAAGTGTTCAAAGTGCTGGAGTTGGTGGTCGCTCATTAAAACACCACATGGGCCTCCTGGTGCCGAAAAAACGAGCCGTGACGTCATGTGCTGAATAACTCCGTGTAGGGGGATAATGGTTCCTACGTAACTTTAGTTCCGCTTTGACACAAATATTTGATTTATCCGAAATTGGGGATTTATTTTGTCAAACTATGAATAGAATAAAATACAAATAAAGATGAACAGTACAGATTAAACATTTTAAAACAATATATACTTATTCTCAGTAAAAAACACCCATATTCAAGTAACGTAGGGTGCAATATGTAAGTACAGTATGTGAAAATTGTTCATGTTTATAGAAAAACAGTGCGTTTTCACTAGAAAATCATTGATATCATTTGATTATTTAATATGTATTACCTCCAATTATAAAAGTATTATTTATGTGATTTAAATAATGTATTACGTTATTGGTGGTGCTTCATCAATAAATGTCCGACCTGTGTTTCCGGTGACTGGCAGAAAGAACCGGAAGTCAGAAACCTGCTGTGTAATCGTACCGTTTTTTAGCTGTTGAAGAAGCAGCTTCTTTTTCTAGGAGACACTTAAATCTCACATTTAACATGCCGGACTACTTGGGAGACTCTCAAAGAAAGACCAAGGAACCGGAGAAAGATGACGCACCTATCAGATGTAATCCTAATAATATATGAATTATTAAAAACATTCAGTTCTTTCCTGTAAAGAAACGTCGGCTTTAGCTTCATGCTAACGTTAGCTCTTCTCGTGAAATGTGGTGCTACTTTTTTACGAATGCCTTTAATAACCTATTTTTGGTTTGCATATAATGTATTCTGTTTATAGTAGTTAGTATATGTTGTGTACATGTAAGTTAATGTAAGTTAATGCAATGTTATTGCTCGGATAGATAAGAGTGCGAACGGCCCGACGACCAGTGTTGTCAGAATGCAAACTCATTATTGTTGTTTATTTCTCAACAGCTTTGGATGAAGGAGACATTGCTCTGCTGAAAACATATGTAAGTACACCGTGAGATAGACTGAAGCACATTAGTTTGAAATGTGGAATTGGTTATATCCACATCCAGCACCAGACACTGTTTCTACTTGGAAAGCTGTGGGAGGTCATTTGCACTACTGTGTATACTTTTACTGTCATAGTAGCCTAACCCCAACCCTTTTGTATGTATACCTGTGTGTGTATATATAAGTGGGTGTACAGGTGTGTTATTATATTTGTATACTTTGAGATGGTGAGAAACAGCCTCTGGATCTCCCTGTCTGTGAGAAATTGACAATAAAGTTCACTTTGATTGTTATTATATGTATCTCGTCTAATGTGATGCTTGCTGTTGATCATCAGGGACAAAGCACCTACTCCAGACAGATCAAACAAGTTGAAGATGACATCCAGCAGCTGCTCAAGAAGATCAACGAGCTCACAGGTGTGTGATCAAAAACATAAATATGCAGGAGGCTGTGGCTCAGTGGATAGTATGATAGACTTCGAATCAGGGGATAGCAAGTTTGAGTCCCACTGCAGTCAGCATGTCGTCGTGTCCCTGAGACACTTCACCCCAAATTGCTCCTGTGAGGATTGTCCACAGTATTGAATGTATGTAAGTCGCTTTGGATAAAAGCGTCTAACAAATGACATGTAATGTAACACTTAAGAGTCAAACATGTTACTATACTTACGTTTTCTCAGCTGCTGGCTTTAGATGTTGGGATTGGATGCTGAAATATGTCTGAATTTGCTGTTGTGTTGTTTGGCTCTGACAGGCATCAAGGAGTCGGACACAGGCCTGGCTCCTCCTGCACTCTGGGATCTGGCTGCAGACAAACAGACTCTGCAGAGCGAACAGCCGCTGCAGGTTGCGAGGTGAGTACAGCTGACTGATCTCTCCATCAATGCATGTGTAAAAGTCTACACAAATCAATCAGAGCAGCTTTGAATCAGTAATAGCATTGTGGCAAAAACTAAGGC